AGGTTTTCTTGAAATCATTCTGCACAACTTGTATGATACCCTCACGTGCATAACTCGACCTATTACATAATCGGACTAAGGGTAATACCCTTTTAATTTAAAATTGTTGAAGTGGGCAGTCATAACTGATTTGAGGTCCGCTTTTAATGATTTTAAAATAAAAGTGTATCCCGAAAGTGAAACCAAAAATTGATTCGTCACCTAAAATTTGGGAACGAGAGAAAAAGAAATGTTCGTTTATTTAAATATATCGAGAAAAGGTTGTTATATCTTTAAGATCTGGTCTCGATATTTGTAAATAATCGAACATTCTTTATCTTTCTAAAACGACTTGGTAATTTTAATTTAATTATTTTGAGTGCTTTTGAATGTTTTAAATTTACATTTTTATTTTATGGGATCAAAAATCAAAATAAATTCGAATTTGTAAAGTTCATTGCAAAGACGTTAATTAATCGACTAGGTACCGATTTAGGGCGTTGTGGGGGTGCTAATCCTTCCCCACACACGTTACCGACTCCCAAACTCGGATTTTGGTAACGCATACCTCAATTTGTTGTTTTAATTAAAATTAATTTTTATTTAAAATGACAAAGCATTTTTGGGTGCCCAATCACACCCTAATCAAAGATTGGTGGCGACTCTTCGAACCGTATTTTTCGATCGTAAAGGAAATTCAAAATTTTTCGAAACGAGATGTCTTTTAAATCACATTTGTTTTTAAAATAAAAAGAGACAATTAAGAATTAATGTGGTTTTCAAAATCTCACCTTTTTTTCACCTTTAAGAAAAAATCGTTTCGACACAAATAATCAAAAGCTACAGCTGAAGTAGTAAAGTAATGCTGCGGTTCAGGATGCGAAAGTGTTGAGAAGTCTGAGGCTGTAAACATGATTAACTATATATAAAGTGACTAAACGAATTATTTTGTCCAACGAAAACACAGGAATATCACTAGTTTGTGGTTTGGACACTTTCTAGAACTCGGACATTGACATAAACCCTTTCATGGCAATTACCATTGAGGGGTAGCTGGGAATATGATACAAAAATTATGTTTTTGTTTTCCTACATTGAAACAAGATGAGCATGACTTACAGTCATTGAATGCTCAAATTGTTTAACACCTGTAGAGGAAAGACAAATTAATAAGAGAAATTCCTCCATCCAAGTCAGTAATAAATGCATACGTTTGCGGTTCCTGCAGAACTGACACCGAACAAGTGTTTGAGACCAGATTATGAATCATTCATAAATGAAACAGGCGTCAAAGAGAAAAGGTTTTACTTGCAATCTATTCTCTGAAATCTCAAATTTCCTAACCTAAGCACCAAAGTACTGTATCAAGTCATCGTCAAGTAGTTCATCTAGTGAACTTGTACCATCAAATGGGAGTTCAAAGGGGCTGTGGAATCCACCAAAAAATGAAGGATCATTTGTTGGAGAAACAAAGGGATTATGAACAGCTCGGTCTTGCTCATTATGCAATAGGTGATGCAATTCTCCCCCAGTAATTTCATGTTCATTTCTACCCGGTGCTGACACATCAACACCATTCTCTGGCCTAATATCCGTAGGTACAATCATCTCCATATGAGTTTGATGACCATCATTACCAGGCCTAAATTCGGCCGATGGAATATAAAACTCACATGTAGCACCATGGTGCAGCTAAGCATGTTGCACTAACGGATAGAGCATGGGCCTTCCATCTACATACATGCTCTGTGTGGAAATCTCAGTAGCACAAGGAATGGCAGGATAATGGCAGTATCCATTTGCAGGTAGATGCGGCTGAACATCTAAACTTTCCGCCACATGTCTTAATGCTGAACTTGCATCATTTTCCCGCTGAGTGGCAGGCATATGATATTCCAAGAATGATACATCGGTTTGGTTGATGTCAGGTAAAGTGCTTATTGAATCAGCATTTACACATTCACCATGGTTTGGTGGCATAGGTATTTCATCTCCATGGGTTGGCATAGGTTGTTGATCACCATGGTTTGGCATGCGTCCTTTATGACCATCGTTTGATCTTAAACGAGGTCTCTTCCTCCTAGTTTGGTTTTCCACTCGCTCATTGAGTTGTAATGGATGTGAATCATTGTTGCTAATACAAGCCAAAGGCTCGACAACAATACATTGATTTCTCTGCTCATCTTTGGAAGAGACTGAACCTACTCCATCATCAACACCATCAACATCATAATCACTGTCACTACTGAGAGCAGGTTGATTCTTATCACCATGTCCAGCTCGGGGCATTTCAGTTATGCCAGATGTTCCATTTTCACTGATAGGTTGCCGAATCAGAGCTTCCTCTCGGCTCAAGACCCCCAACCAAATTGTACTCTCCTTTGCTGTCATCTTATCCTGTAAACATTTTGACTTACGTACATGCCTCCGGATCTTGGCAGTATCAGGCGACATGTGCTTTATCACGGCTGTTAACACTCCAACTTTCCACATCTTCTTAAGATCATGTGGCTTCTTATAAGGAGGACTTCGACCCGTTGTAGCCCTAGTGTTACCCACCAATCTTCGTTTCCAGTAGGCCACCAAGGCGGAGGAATTCTCTTTTCTAACGGATACTTTCTCTGAGGGGGATCACCGTGCTGCATCAAAGAAGACAAGAGGGATCCAAGAGTAGCATCTTGCAGGTCTTTGAGACTGGTATGCTGATTTCCATTTCTACCATCACCGGACTCACTCATTGCTAAACAGTCTGATTCATACTTGGCAATGGCTGCAGGCCCATTCTTATCGAACTTCACCTTTTCTTTCCACCAAGCTCTTAGATTATCCGAAGAACCACTTGCAGGCTTACCCTTCTCTGGGATGATGCCATAGACAAATCCCCGGGCTTTGCAAACTTCCATTAGCTTCAACATGTACTTAAGAATCCCGTCTTGAGCTCGGGACATTTTCTTCCTCTGAGCTTGATCAGAGGTCTTCTTCGACTTTTACTTTTCCGCAGCCTGTTGGGCTGTTATCTTCTGTCTTTCCTTAATCCTTTTGAGTTTGATACGATCTTTCCACATCCGTCTCTCCAGGTCATCAGCTTCAATCTCTTCGTCACTGACATCTTTCTCCGCTATATTTTCACACCTTAAGTCATCAACTTCAATGTCGGAACTGTCAACCAACAATCAACAACCATCATAACATGCCCCGTCAGTTCAAACAACACTGAAATCCTTTGTTGGACGAAAAGGACATAAACCCTAAGCCAAAATTTGAACCCCAATTCTACCCTTTCTGAAGTTGACAAACCAAAAAAGATTAAAATTTGAGAGCATTTTATTAGTCTGCTCAGTAAAATATCAATTACAGATTCCCATTCCTTATTCATCAACGAGCCTGCTTCTAAAGTCCAAAGGCACAAACAATTAAAGTTACTCTAAAGTCTAAACAAATAGATATATAAATGTCAAAACAAATGCACCCCGTTATATTTCCTTAATTCTTACATCCATAATCAAATCGTACAAAATCCAAAATCGAATACTCCAAAAATATCCAATATTGAAAAAGAATTTACTAAATTTCTGGGTTTAACTTTTTGTTCTTAAAGTAAAAAACAAAGAATGGAGCTTTTACCTAATATCAGCTCCAATATCTTCCAATTCTGCCATGGAAAAAGGGGGGGGGGCGAAGCTCGAAATCTTTTAACTTTGAATAGCGAGACAAAAGGATTAGGAGATCTAATTGATTCTCAGGTCAAGGAAAGGATTTGGAGAATGAAATAAAGGAGAAAAAAACACAGGAAATCAGAGTAAAAAATGGGTTTTGATTGCTCATAAAAGATTGCGCATTTTGATGCAGAAAAAGTTGTGAGAGAGAGGGCAGGCGAAGGCAATTGGAGCCGAAGTGGAAGAGAACAATTTGGAATGCCCATTTAAGGAGGGCTGATCTCCTGCTTGGCGTCCAAATACATGCATTTTCTCCTTTGTCTTTTATTGCATATATATATATATATATATATATATTAATTATTTATTTTGACTTTTGATTGTTACTTATGTAAATCAAATATTTACGATGGTAAAATATTTATAATAGGACCGATTGAAAACAATAGGACTGATGAAACTAATTAATATAATAGTGAGATCGACTGATTAACATAGGACGTTGAAAATAAAATAAATGGTCGTATGTATTTTAATTCGACCATAACAACAATATTGAGATCAAAGTATATAATGTGTAGTAACAATATAAGATTAAAATATAATCCTCTATTTGAATAAAAAAAGATGAATTATCATCGATCAATTTAATTTAGGTGTAAAGTACACAAATGATCCATCGACTATATATTATTATTTTATTAAATCTCAGACTATTAAAAGTTACAAAATAATCTCCTAACTATAGGATGTTATATTTTTAAGTCACATTACTATTAAATATTATAAAATGGTCACACAACTATTCATTGTGTTCCAAACTTGTCTTTTTCTGTTAAAAAGTTGATAGTAGTTTAAGCTGAATGTTAACATGTTGACTGAGATACGATAATCATTTGAGATTATGAGTTTATATTATATCATATCTTAGTCAGTAGATTAATGTCCAACTCAAATTGCTATCAAAATTTAACAGAAAAGACGAGTTTGAAACACAATGAATATAAAATGTTATAAATTCAAAATAAAATTTAGTTGTAAAAGTGAGAGTTAAAATAACAAAAATTACAAGTATTGAGGGTTAAAATTATTCTCGTACCTTAAATTTATCCCAACACAGCTTAAAAGGGTGCCACTTGGAACAATTTAAACGAAATCATAACTAAATTGATAATAATATAAATGTTGGAGATTGAAATTTTAAATTATTTTATGGTGGTGACTACTGAATTTTATCTACTAAAATAAAAATTAAGTAGCTGAGGGACTAAAAACGAAATTTACCCTATATATATATATATTTGGATCTATTTCCTTTAAAGTTTAACAGCATGGAAAGCTCATTTTAGAAATTTCCCCTCTGCTGTTACCCTACCAGAAAAACTCTGGTGGATGTTACGATCACAGTCGCTCACGCGCCTCTTTCATTCCGAACCACAGTAATAGAATTCTATAGAAAAGAAAACTGCAAGTGGAAGTGAAGCAAATTCTTCTGTGCCCCTCCTTCATTTCTTTCTAATGAAGCAAATGATGAATCTGTCTCCAACTCTATCGATGAACGCGCCCTTTGGAGGGGCCAGCGCCTCGAATCCAGCTGCCTCCGGAGCTCCGGCCATGAAGGATCGGAAGATTTCATCGGCGGAGCAATTGGTTCTCGACCTCAGCAGCCCTGATCTCCGAGAAAACGCTCTTCTCGAACTATCCAAGGTAATTTAAATTATTTGAATAAGTGGTGCTTCTTTTTCATCTTCTATTTTCTTTGTTTAAGAAGTAAGGTTTTAGCTTAGATAAAGTAGAAATTTTTGGGGAAATTTGATTTGATTTCTTAAATCTATTTTTTTAAATCTTTTTTATATATGTTTTGTTTTTAAAAGCCATGAAAAATTGAGATGGGAATAGGAGTACGAAAATCACTGTGTCCAATCTGAAATGAAGAAACTTAGTATATGATTCCGACTAATAATTAAAATACTTGCTCTACTTTGAGAGTAGCAAATTTGTCAGCATTTAACAATTCATCGAAGCAAGTGATATATATGGACATTTGGGCGGCTGATTAATGAAATTCATCATCTAGAGTCATCGTCTTTAAAAATAAATCATTTGGATTCAGTGTTACTGTTATCTTATAGTGGTTTATAAGTAAGCTAAATAGCTCCGGAATTTTTGTGCTTATCGTTTATTTTGTAATACCTACAACTTAATCTCCTCTTATATTCATTCTCCGGTTTTGCGATTTGGATGTTCAGCATGTCTCTGTTACCACTATAAACCAGTGTCTAGTGTCTACCTCTGGTTATTTTTTTATAAAAAAGGAACTATTTAAATATTTAGCTTTCTTGTGTGGAATTCATTTGGTACTATAGCTACACTAATACAGGTATGCCTGACGAACTTTTTTTGTTTCTGTTTTTAGAAAAGAGAATTATTTCAAGATTTGGCTCCATTGTTGTGGAATTCATTTGGTACTATTGCTGCACTTTTACAGGTATGCTATTTATAGTTGCTAGTTCAAAATTTCTCCCTTCTTTCATCTCCCTTCCTTTCTTTTTCTCTGCATGTTTTGTAATTTCTTATTCTCCCTTTTCAATTTAGCTTGATAGATAACTTGATTTCTTCAAATGAGTTATTGCTACTACTTCTGTTGATTATCTATGGTTTAGTTATGGCCCATGTCTTCCATCAAGTTGATATCTCACATGTTTCGGATGGTATGAGTTAGTACCGTAAGTTTGGACGTGCATGTCAATGAAAATGAGGATATGCATAGTATTTTAAGTGAAATATAAATGGATTTATCTTTTCAAAACTAGAACATGAAAGATGATGTGGTTATGTTGTTAGTTGGGTAAAATTCTTGTGCATCTTGGTAACATGCTTCATTTACCTGATCTGTGGGTATTGTTCATCTGCATGATTGCTGCTAATGTATCAGTGAGTGTTTCCATATTTGACTCGGGCTTTTTTAACGAGATTTACATTGTTCAATATTGCCTTTATAAACATAAAACTACGGTTTCCTTTTTTTTCATTTCTTTTTGTTTGTAGCATATCAAAATTATTATCTGGTGCAGTTTCCTTCACATGTGTATTCACATATAGCTCTATTTGTAGTATTCCCTATTTTAGGACCTAGGCAATAAGAAAGGGGATAATAAGAGCTGGAAGAGGTGGTTGTATTAAGAGGGGATATGGAAAGGCTAGACTTGTTGCTTTTTGGCTGATGAGAAATGACTTACTGAGAATAAAACTGCAACTCAGTTTACTTCAAAATTCAAATTAAGTGTACATCTGATGTAATTGAATTTTTTGTTTTATGTACATTCTTATCATACACATGGACTTTTATCAAAAAAAAAATTATACACATGGACATTGTTATTTTACGTGGAACATTTTAAATCATGGATTTTGTTGGGTTCAGAACAAGTGAATTCTTGTTGTTTTGAGTCTAATAAACACTATTAGACTTGCCAGATGCTAGTTATATATTATTTTATTAATTGAGTTGCCATTAGAATTTGAAAACTAGTCCATTTTTGGGTTCTCTCTGTCTCTGTTTAGTTGATGCTAAATCATTTTTACTTACAGGAGATAGTTTCTATTTACCCTGTTCTCTCACCACCAAATCTAACTCCAGCTCAGTCAAATCGAGTTTGCAATGCCCTTGCTCTACTTCAGGTGACGTGTTTCTGGCCTTCTTTTAGTTTTTCTGTTATATTGAATATTTACATCACTAATAGTAGCTTATTGCTCTAATGTTATGTTTTGCTTTTAGTTTGTTTGCTCTTTTTCTCATATTGTTGTTGAAGGGGAATAGAAGATAAAGTTTTCTGCTATTTTTGTTTATTATTGTATTTGTCAATTCAGAGGCACTGCTAATGCATCATATGTTTCATCTTTGTTTACAGTGTGTAGCTTCTCATTCAGACACAAGGATGTTATTCCTAAATGGTATGTTCTTATCTGACGAGTTTGTTTGGTCTTGATATGTTTACTTTGTTGCTTAACATGTGAAAGGGATGCATTGAGAACCTGAACAGCTAAGAAAATGAAAGAAATAGAAGACATAATTGAAGAGGGATAGATGACTAAGGTTCTGATTTTTCCAGAAACCTTGTTTTATTTAAAACTCCATTAACTTTTTGATAAAGAATAATCCTATTAACTCTCTAGTAGTGTATTTATTCTAAAACTTTTACTAAAAGTCACATGCTAATCACATTTCTCATTAAATATTTAATAAAAGATACAAAACATAAACTTAAGTAAAATAGTATAAAACACAAATGATAAAACTAAATTCAACGCTCTTCATCAAAGGGGGGTAGTTTTGGTTTCACTGTGCATTGCCCTTCTTAATGTTATTTTTACCCCCTCTCGTTTTCTGTCTTCTCCCCATTAAATGATAACTCTGCTAAATTTTAAATGCTTATACATTCGTGTTGTTAGCTGCTCCTGCTTCTTGTATTTACATTTACGAAAGATCGTTTTTTCAGCAGCAATATAAAATTGTATGTATTTAATTGATGCATTCGATGCTCTCACTGATTATTTTCATCTGCAGCTCATATACCCTTATATCTGTATCCTTTCCTCAATACAACAAGTAAATCAAGGCCTTTTGAGTACTTGAGGCTTACTAGCTTAGGTGTCATTGGTGCCTTGGTGAAGGTAATTATTCATTATTTGGTTTAAGTTGATTGAGTTGTGTGCATTTTGATCTTTGTAGTGTTGTCATACATGTTAATAGAACATGTTAGTCTTAAGGAAATGCATGATCGAGTCAGAGTGTGAAAGAATTCTAAAGTCAAAAGGAAAATCATGAGGAGAATTGAAGTGGCTATGTATGTTATCTATTATCATAACATACAGAATAACAAACATGTTTACCCACCGCAATAAATAAAATAGAGGCACTTTGTATAATCTGCAACAGATGATTATAAACTTTATGGTGGCATTTGCGGACTTATTGTCAATGAGACTTGCCCTAATTGTTGTATCGTAGAAACCTTTCTGTAGTGTGGCTGCCAAATATGTGTCATTTGAACTCTCAGCTATCATTAAGAATTCTCTATTTCTTGTTTATTAGGACCTTATTCAGTGAGTTACAAGAGCTCAGAAACTAGGGATTTGCACCATTATCATGCACTCCTGTACATCTCTTGAGTTCAGAGGAATGTACTCCCTTTATTTTCTGGATAGATAGTAATGGTGTCCCACTTGTAAACATAGAATAATTTATCAGAAAGAAAAGAAATAACTTTTTCTGTTATGTTTCCTTTTAAAGTCCCACAAATTTGAGAGCATGCAATAGATGCATTGTGTTTTGGTTTTGCTTAATTATTACATGTACAAATATTTTTTTTTTTTTGCGTCACTTAATGTGTAGGAAAGAGAGTTATATTGATCCAATCAGAAATTATCTTTGTTATTATTCATAAATGTTATCTGCATCATGCTTCTAAAGATACTGATAATATGAGCTTACATTCTTTCACAGGTTGATGATACAGAAGTTATTAGCTTCCTTCTTTCGACAGAGATAATTCCGCTATGCCTCCGAACAATGGAGATGGGTAGTGAACTATCAAAGACAGTTGAGATCATTGAATTTAATTTCTCTTTTCCAATTTTTCCGTAATTAACTTTTTATTTTTCCCTATACATTCCATCTTAACATGTTTGCTATTTATGTTGTGAAATTTTTTTTGGAACTGTTTGATAACTGGCATTGCATGCCTGGAGGTGCCATTGGACAGGCAGCCTGCCCAGGTATGCTAGTGCTGTCCATCTTTTGGACTTGACCTAAGTTTTATGCTAAAATGGATGGGTTTGTTTATGAAAATTTAGGCTCCACTAGCACTTGACCCAAGTCCTATTTCAGTTTTTCTTGAACTTGGTCTAGGCAAAGGCCTGCGTATGCACACCAGCGTATGTAGTTGCAGTGTTTCAACTTTGCTTATATTTTTATGACTTGGCATTTTGAAGTGTGTTGTCATTTACTGTATATTTCCAGTCAATTTGGGGTTGAGATAGCTTGCCCTGGAGACCTATGATTGTCCCTTATGTTTTGCCCAGATCATAATCAGTCGATATCTTTTTAATGAGGCCTCCTATTCCTATCAAAAAAAAATAATAATCAGTTGATATCACAGAGATGGTTGATGGGTGGGTGAAGTTGTGGTTTGGGTGGAATCGTTTCAAGTTGCTGGAGTTTGGATTGCACAGGATAGATTCGCGTCTTGCCACTGTTTACCATTCGTGGGAATCAGATTTGAGTATAGGTTTAGGGTGTTGAGTTTTTTTATATAGTTTGGGCTGGTATTTGGGAGGTCACTTGGGTCAGGTTGGCTTTTTCTTAATTGTCTTTTTCTTTTTCTCCGATTCCTGTTTTAAGTTGGCTAGGAACATAAATTTTGCTATACCAAATTTGCAATCGTCACACCAAGAATATCAAGGGTTTCATGGGATTATATGTAAGCCTTGCTTCCTCGAAGCATGATGAATGATTAGTGATTACTTTATGGCAGGTTGCTACTTTTATAGTTCAGAAGATTCTGTTAGATGATGTTGGCTTGGACTATATTTGCACTACTGCTGAGCGGTTTTTTGCAGTTGGTCGAGTTCTGGCAAATATGGTTGCAGCAATTGCTGAGCAACCCTCTTCACGTCTTTTAAAACACATTATTCGATGTTATCTTCGATTGTCAGATAACCCAAGGTTCGTTAGTCAAGTTGATATGCTATCACTTATGAAATTTTGGCTCTAACCTCACCCTGTCCTTTTCTTCTTCTTGTCAGTACTTGCATTTTAGGTTTATGCTTAAAATTGACATGTTTTTGGGCCTGCCTTTGTAATATAGGGCTTGTGATGCATTGAGAAGTTGCCTTCCAGATATGTTGCGTGATGCCACTTTTAGTGCATGTCTTCGTGTAAGTACCTGTGGTTATTTCATACACACACACACACGCATATATTATTTTTGGTTATAATGAAAGTTATATTATTTAAACTGCATTCCATTTTTCATGACAGTTGAAAGTTTTTTACATCGAACAAATAGTTAGATATTTTTAATTTACTCAAAATTAGACATGTATGATGTACATGAATATGATATTATTTATGACTGTTGAATTTGTAAAAACATTAATCATAACTTATGCAAGTTTGTAAAACTAATTTAGTTTTACAATAATGTTAAGTGGATTTTTTTCCTATATATAGAAGTGCGTTTGGGGAAATGTATAAGTTATATCAATTTTGTGTTTGATATTAGAAAAATACTACCGATTGTGGAAATCGATGATCTCTTCTACATACAAGTCCTTCGCATATCGTCTTAGAGTTTTGAGTCTTTGTTATTTTATCCTTTGATGCAGTTCAAAATTTAACTGTTTTTTGTTAATTTTAACGAGGTTATTTAAATCTATTCAGTTTTAACAGTGAAGTGCATTTTTTCCTTGAATAATTATATATCATCTTTAATGATGCTTATAGGAAGATCACACCACGAGGAAGTGGCTGCAACAGTTGCTTCACAATGTCGGGGTGAGTCGGATGCCAACACTTCAGGCCGGTGCTGGATTTGATCACATGCTGGTTAGCTGAAAAACCGTACAATCTCCTTTTAAAGTCGTCTACTTAGTTTATTTCCTCTTGTTTTTGGTGTATGTTAATTTGATTAGATGTTGTAATTAGTCATTTGACCTTAAAACAGAAATCAAATCCAGCAGTATAATAGTAAAAGTCTTGGTCTAGGGTGCGGTAGCAAAGCCTAGTTGGACTTGACCATTTTGAATGTTTTGATCAAGATGAATGTATACCGAAAAATAACAATGGGGCTGCTACTGCTTCTGAATGACAATAATATCTGATTGGTACCACCTCTTGCCACGTATGAATTATTGATTTTCCTTTTCATAATATGTTTGGGTTATCCTTGAAGAGATCTCTTCTTGTCTGTTTTATGGTTTACCGATTACCGATCAAGAGTTCGGGTAGAAATCGACTGTGGTTCCATTCAAGTCTTTGATAATGCTGTAATACTTAGACAAGCAATATCAATGGGATGAACTGGGAAATAGAAGATGCAATTATGGTAAGGTTGAATTCTAGAAATTGAGAGCATAGTGCAACAGATATGCAAGAAATAACATAAAACAGGGTTTACAGTTGAATTTTGAAATGTACTAAACAAAGGCAGATGAAAATTACACATTAAAAATATAAACTAAAGAGCCCTGCTCATAACATACTGTCCGATCTCGCTGGCAACCTCCTAAAGAAGTTAAGAGGCACCGATGGAAGTTTGTGGCGGAACCTGGGATGCCTTAGGACATGAAGGCCTGTGAGAAGAGCCACGACTTGGAATGGTGTAACATAAAGAATGATAGCGGCAATCAAACAGAAGGTCACGAAAAGGGTGGTCGCTCTCCAATCCCTCCAGCTTAGCAGAGACTGAAATCTTTCCCCTTGGGTCGCCAGATCATCGATCACGGTCTGAACTCTCCCTGCTATACTTCTGAGACGGTCATATCTCATCCTGACGATATCCGTAGGCCGGGAAGTGGGGAAGGTATCGAACTCTTCATCTCGTTCATCGGGATGGGCAGCATCAGCATGAGAGAGCCATGTGTCCATGTGAGGAGGGTGCATTGGCCGGCAACGGTAGTTTCAGATACCGATTAGGAAAAGGTAGAGAAAAACTGTGGGAAGTATTAACTCAGGGTAAAGAACTAATATAATGAAAAAGGATATGAATCAAAATGGTTGTAATAGGGTTTCTCCAGTTGCAGATTTGATCAAACCATTTTCCAATTGCAATCATCCCACTTAGAACTCCCATAATTCGAAAAAAAGTTTGCTTTGCTTCTCCTCATGCTCCACATATGTGAATCGACATCAAGCATGTATTCCACGACTTCCTTTCTCCGTGGTGGCTCAGCCCGACTCAACCTTACCGAGACAATCTGCATAGCCTGGTGCCTCAAGCTGTCGAGTTGAACCACAGACAATGGATGGATGTAGTGCATCTTAGGCAACAATGGATGCGAATACGTATGCAGCATGTTAATCAACGATGAGCAGGTGAATCTCACAGCCAATTGAACTTCACCAGTCTTTTTAACACCAGAAGAATGTAGCACAAGTAGTGGATACGAGTGAGTATAAACCTTACCGGCTTCAAGTGTCGATAGCCGAATTCTTACCTTCCCGATTCTCGCATCCTTCGTCCCTCCAGATCCCCCATTATCGAAAACTCCAATAGTAATGACAGTACAAGTATCAAAGACCTCCCAAGTGTATTGCTCATTCCATCTTGGCATGAAGCTGTCAACAATTGTCCTAGTCCGGACCCATTTCTGTACATACTTAGCCACACAATAAGCATCCGTTGTTCCTCGTCCGTCTCTCGTTTTCATCGGCATCAACCCATGGGCACTTAGAATACCCAGTTCCAGAATTCCGATATTCGGTTTCCATAACTGTTTTGCAGTCGGCCTAAGATCACTGCTGTAGTGCGTAGATTCATCCAAAACATGATACCCTCCTAAACACATCCTCAAGTGAATCCGACTGGCAAATTTTGTTTCCTTTTTCTCTCCATCCACCATCATATGCTTCTCGAGATTGCACCACCGGCTGTTAACAGGTTTATGGTCTAACCGTCTTTGAACAATCTGCAGAGAAATCATACACTTTCCCAAAATTTCATCCTTGTTCGATCCGGCCCTTTCTTCCACGGTTAGAACCAAAGGCTCCTCGAAAGGTTCAGCAACAACAAACATCAAGTCCTCGTTCCACTTTGGATTGACGGTCTTACTCGGAGATATTCTAGTTCTCAAAGCCTGATTTCCGAGAACAGCTTTGACAAACACTTCAGCGAACCTGCCTTTATCACTGAGTACCAAGTCTTGAGCTTCAATGATATTCACCCTCACATACCAGAGCTTGGGGGAAAGATAAACTTTCGACCGAATGTTTGCGACACCGTCGGGACCAACAGATGCAGCATCGGAATGCCACGCATTGGGAAATGCCTCATCAGCTTGAGTTCCCATCCAAACAGCCAGCATGAGCTCTCCCTTGGATTTATTATCCTTCCGATCTTCCAATCGATACCACTGCGGTGCCAACGGACTGTCTGGAGGAACCCTTCTCGGAATTTCATTGACGTCGAACATAACCCTGCCGATCAAATCATCTGCAACAACATCCTTGTCCTTCACAAACACTTCCAAAACAGATGCTTGAATTCTCTCTTTGGAGAATGCAAATACTTGATTCCATTCCGGATTGCTATTCTCGTCGAAATGCTTAGTTACTCCCTTGCAGTTCCCGAGTTTAACCTCGACGTAGGGGTCGCAACAGCCGGTGACATATTTTCCGGGTAAATCCTTTGCCTTCATGACTCGAACATAAAGGTATTGCATCTGCTCCACAAGGTCATAGGTGCTCGAAAGCTTATCGCCGGTGACAGACCCGGCTCCGATGTTGGGCGAGGTCTGCTTTAAGGCAAAGTCTACTGATTGCGGAGGCTTCTGCATCTTTTTTGCTTCTAAACAACACTCAACGGTAGAGCAGGAAAACCAGCAATATCTATCATAAAAATTCGATTTCTGAAACGGCAAAATCAAAGGGGGAAAAAAGCATAAAAATAATAGTAAAACAATTCACATGAACTGTCATTATTAATTATTTTCAATAATCATTACTAAGTAAGCATTTAATACAGTTAAACAATTAAAAGACGCAAACTTGAAGGCTATTTAAACATTTTCCCAGCAACCAAACAGCATTAAAAGAGAAAACATTCACCAGCATGTCCATTAAGACAAAAAAAAATGCATTTTACACAAGGACGAACAGGAACAGATTTAAAGCAAAGAAAACCCAGTAAACTAAAGCAAAGAAATTTAACTCATAGCAAAGACAAAACTTTTCAAATTAAAGCATGCATTTACAAAGAAAAAGATGGTACCTTAGTGTATGAATGTAAAGCGAGAAAAGAACCAACTTTGTGTCTTCAAGGTCCCTGTTTCTTTATAGGCTAAATTACCAATTTGGTTCCCAAATTTTATTTAGTTTTATATTTTGGTCATTAAATTATTTTTTTCTTCAAAATCATATTTAATGTTACGCTTTGGTTTCGTTTTAGTCATCCGCTCTAAAAAATTTAATGACGATGCTTTTATAACTTTTTTAATATTTTTCAATGCTGATATAACATTACTTTAAGTGATACATCAACACCTATGTTAATATTTTAGTGGAGGATGGTCGAAACATAACCAAAATATTATGTTATGTATAATTTTAAAAAATATAATAGTTTAATGATTTGTAACAGAAATAAGTAACAGGTGAATGACGAAATAAATTCACCCTAAACTCCCCCCTCTATTTACACTAACATTTACAAATGTTCAGTCTTTTTCAGGAAATAATGAGAGCATTGATGGTGTAGGTGGATTTGGCATTGGACCCATTTCAAAATTCACTTGATTTTTCATTTATTTAGACCTTAAATTCTTTGATTTAAAAAATATTTTTTAATTTTATAAATATTACAACAATAATTATATTAATAAGATGTGATTTATTTGACTTATTATTATTTTTATATCGGTTGTAAATTTGGTTTTTTTATCTGGATAATGTACGTGTATAATAATACCAGTGCAAAGTTATGTTTGGAAGGTTGAATACTGAGTGAGTCACGACTCACGATTCGCAACAAATTCTTTTACGTACTTCGAGTACATGAATTCTACCGACAACTTAACTGGAAACTAAAGAAAGTTTTGTGGTAAATTAATGGGAGTATGGGTTAATTACCTAACGACTCCTTGTGGTATCAATTCATTCATTAATCAAAAGCCTAGTATTTTAAGTCTTGGAAAGTGAAATAATGCAGGAAATCAAGGTTCGGAAAAAAAATATCAAAGAAATAATGACAAGATGATTACGGTGGAAAGCAGTGGTACTAGTAGTTTTAGTAGGGCTTAACCCAATATTTTATGTTAACGAAAATTTTAGGGGTGAATTAGTGATCGATCTAGAAATCTTTTTTAGGGTGGTTACACATATAATAATAATATATATATTTTTTATATTCAGGTGGATACGATAAAATTTCATGGTGGAGAATATAAAATTTCAAGATGTGCATATATATATTAATAGAAAACTTTGAATTTTAGGAAATTTTAGAGTAGCCACATATCCGTCCTAAAATGAATTTACATATGTTAATGAGAAGAACTTGAATTTTTAAAATTTTAAGAACAAAAATATATTTGTAATAGAAAATACATAATTTTAATATATATATATATATATATATATTGTAATTTTAAATTTATACTTGGTTGTAGGTGCCAACTCAGAGATGTTGCCATTAATCAACAGATTAATGAAATGCACATGTGGAGTTGAGAGTGGTCGTCATCATCTGTTCACCATGCCCATTGCTCTATCTGCACAATATTAATTCCCCATTCAGGACACTCAACCTGTAAACATTATTGACCTCTTCAATGCAACGCAGACGGAATGGATCGAGTAGTGCTAGGAGTACGGTCGTAACCTTTAAAAATTTAGAATTCTTATATAATTTAAGTACTTTTATTGATGATCAAATTTCGCATTCTTGAAATTTTATAATTTCAGACTCTTTAAATCTCTAATATAAATTTTTAAATTCACATTCCCAACATAAAATCTTGTATCTATTGCATACATAGTAGCTCGCCTGACACATTCAAATCAAGATATACAATGCAACTTGCAGCTTTATTCAATCGAGAAAACATTTGTATATAGCTTTTATTCAATACCAAGTGTTTGTAGGTTCTGCACGAGGCTTTATTGTTTCAAGTTT